GCTCTCTGGAAAAATTTCGTCCAGACGAACCCCAGTTCGTCTTGGGACGAACTTCTCTGTCCAGAATTTCCTTTACAACCTGTACCGATCGTCCCGGACGATCCAACTTCGTCTGGACGAACCTGGAAGGAAAAACAGCTTTCACACATGTGACCCGCACATAGGGGTGACAATATCTGACACGACCCAACAAATTTTGGGTTAGGGGCAACTCTTTTCACAAATGGATAGGGTTCAACAAATCAATCTGTTTGAAAAAATGAGTTGAGTCCAGGTTGACTCGTAAACTAGAAAATAACCTGAAACTCTTGTCGACGTCTCTCGTCCGTCAGCGTCGTCGTCAGGTCATCCGATGTCAGGCATCGTTGTGGATCGGAAGTAGTGACGGAAGCTCGTGTGGCATGATTTAGGGTTTTGAATGTCACTAAAAGCCTTATTCGCCTGCTTTGATGACGTTCCTTCCTGTCGAATCGGAAGTTGCGACAATTCGTCGTCCTGTTGGATCGAAAGTAGGCAAGTAGCGACAGGAGCTCGCTATCTTCCTCCTTTTCTTGTGCTTCTTCCTCCCTTTTGTGCGCTTCTTCTACCAAATCCCATACATCCGTGTTGGGTCGGGTAGACCTTGAAACATAACGGGTCAGGTATGAGTTGAACAAATCGACCTATTTATAAAAATGGGTCATGTTCGGGTTAACCCAAATAGGGCGAGTCAGTTCTGGGTTCGACTCGAACCCGACCTACAACCCAAAATTGACACCCCTACCTGCACTCCATGCCTTCACACGCGAATCCATATACACGAGCTCACATGTGTGTGTCTGCCTGCCAGTCCCGACTAGGCTCCACTCACGCCCAGCGTAGTGCTTGCAAGCGACACTTCCACGTGCCCCAATCGCCTCACCCATGAGAGTCAAGCACCCATCTTTGATCCGAGCACAATCGAAATTGCCCTTTTCTACCATGCTCTTCCCCTTAATCAACTCCACCTTGCACTGAAACTAGTTGTAGGATCTTGGTGAGGAAAAAAGCTTTCTTGGATGAGAGAGAGAGAGAGAGAGAGAGGGGAGAGGGGGACAACAAGGAATAAGAGAAATCTTGATTCCTCTTCAATTCAAAACTTATTACAATCATCTCTATTTAGAGAAGAATAGAACTAAATGGATAAAATTCACATAAGGAACTACAAACTTAAAGTTGGACTAATCAGAATTTAATGAAATTCAATATATCATTTTCGACACTAACTTTAAAGTCTATTTGGGATGATTGTAAATTTTTAAAAAATTGGTTGTGAAATTACTCTGGGAAAAAATTCTTGGTTATAAAAAAAATGTTTCCACCTAAAAAATTTATAAAAACCTGCGGCAAAATAATAATTAAATGAAATTGTGATTGCTATTTGAAAAATAAAATAACGAGAAAACCGTCACAAACAGATCCTTTGTATAAAACTAAGAGCTTTAATTTTACATCAGGATGATATCATAACACAAATGATTTCTTTCACATTTTGCAATCATAACAAAATGAGAATAACTCCATACTCCGGCCAGAACTTAGAGGTTATCTTCAGTTTAAACTTCGCAAGTACGCATCTGCAAGCAAGCTCTCAGAACAGGTAACACTGCAGTGAAACACAATCAAAATACTGTGGTTTTTTTTCCTTATATGTGGATTAATTAACTTCATCACTCAAAGTTCCTTAATTTCTTTTCGTTTCCTCCCCAAATTTGAAACAAAAAATGTGAAGCAAACTACAATAAGAAAAAAATATCCTCCACTTTATGAGCAACAATCATAGAAAAGATAATTCTTCATTGCCCAAACTAGAAAAATTAAGTGTGGAAACGAGCAAAAATAAAATTTTCAATATATATATGATACAAACCAACACTACCAAAACCAAATTTACTTGCCAACTTGTTAGATTGTCAGCTACCATTTAACCAACACTAATTTGCTAGCAAATAAGCCATATTTTATTGATTATAGTCAATGTAGGTACATTCAGTCATTATATGATTTTAGAATAGTAATATTCAGAAAAACTTGGTGGGTAACCATTAGAAAGGGAAAAATTGTTACACCAACAATTAAAATGGAACTCAAAATAGGGGTGAAATAAAGAAACCACCGTTATAATATGATGTTTTTGAAATTTCTTTTATTAAGATTAGAGAGAGTCACCTTAGATGGTTTGGTTGGATAAAACGGCGGCCTTCTGATGACCCGGTTTGAAACATAGAGGTATTAAATTTGATTTATGTTAATAAAGGTAGAGGTAAATCTTAAAAGACTTTGTTAGAAAATATTAGAAATGATCTTTATTTATTAGATTTAAACGAGAATTTAACTTTTAACATGACACAATTGAGAAAAAGGATTCATGTAGGCGACGTAGTGGAACAAAGGCTTGATGTTGTTGTTGTTGTAGTAGTATCGGATAAAGTATAAGACAATTGTATCCTTAGAGTTAGATGCTTACCATGGATAATTAAAGTGGAAGCTTTGACAGTTTTGGAGCATACATCATTACCCTTATCCAACAATATAAAGCTAATCAATTTAGTTAAGGTAATCCTTTGGGTTTTGTTTAGATGGAAGGAAAGCAAGGGAACCCTAAAATCCCTATAACTAATGGTTTGATTATGAATTTGTATCCACTAATTTAAGATTTTTAACCTTCTTTTATTTGCTTTCACTTAAATTCTTAGCATCCAAATACAAAAATTAAGGTTTCGTTTGGGACGAATTTCTTACTATTTTTTAAAATAATTTTTTTAAAAAATTGCTTTAAGAAGCAGTAAAAAAGTCATCCCAAGTAAAGCCCAAGTTCCTTGGCTCATTTCATGGTGCTTTCTCATCTTTTTGGCAGAGTTTTGTACTTCCATTTGCAAAATAATTACATTTCATCTATTATGGAGCCTCAAAATAGGGATAATAATTAAACCGGAAAACATGCTATGCAAAAATATATTTTAAACAATGCTAGCAAATCTTGAATTTATTGACCCCATAGCTTTCCCAAAATACAACACTAGAATAAAAATACCCCATCTTACAACAGTAAGGAAACCAGAGTTGAAGCATTTACTTATTGATGTAAGAAGCAAAATTCCACATCAATAGACATACATCATATGTCAGTGTAAAGGTACAACATTAAAGTTTTTTCAAATTCATACATATCACATATGCAAGCATCGAACCTAAGATCTCTTGATTGATAGCCAAAGCTCCCAACTATCATATCAAGATGAGATGCATTACAACGTTAATGCGAAGTGAATAATTTGTTGGAGAAAACCAAACATCAATGTATGGCGAAACTCAGTAGAATCATACAAAAACTTGGACTAGAGGTAGGCCAGTAATGAAATGGATATAAACTCAAGCCATACTAGGACTTAACTCTAAATCTTAACCATTGAGCTTTGAACACATCAAATTTCCTAACATAGTTCCCTTACATTCTTCCCATCCAATCGTAGCAAAAAAGACCTCCAAAAAACCAATCAAAACGTTAAAAAGAAATGTTGGAGTACACAGTCCATAATAAACTACAATTATGGAGCAAAATGGCATAAATTTAGGTTTCATTTGAGACTGCTTTAATTTCTAGCTGCTTCTTAAATCAGCTTTTAGTATACAAATTTTAATTTTTGTATCAAAAAATTGCTTTAATAAGCATTAAAAAAGCCGTCCCAAACAAAGCCTTAGTCTAAATATTATCAAACAAAATGTTGGCGGCATTAAAATCTTATGAATTAAATCACAACATTTATGGAATTTAAAAAAGTTAATAATTTAAAAGAAGCCATGCCAAACAGTTTTCAAAGTTGTAAGTGTCTAACCCTCTAAAAATTAACAGGATTTACCAAATCCCACTTGTGGCCAAGCAGATCGTCAACACAAGTCAGGATAAGTACCTAATTTCATCCTCTTCAATGGAAAACATAAATGAGATTCACATGCATTAAACATAAAGGACGGCCTCTGTGTTCTAAATCCAGCCTTCCACAAGAAACCAGATATTAAAAAAAAAAAGCAATTTTTGTATCATTCAATGACCCGAAGCAAAGTAGGTCCATAACGTGCCTGATAAAAATACATACGCAAAAGGGTATTTCGTTTCTCGTTCCTATAGAAGAAAAGAAGAAGAAGAGAGCTTACAGTACATGCCGAAGAAATTGAGGAAAGTTCAGTAGAAAACACGAAGGCTTCCGCTTGCTCCAGACTGCGCGGTGCGAGCGAGGAGAGATTTCATTAATCATTAATGCTTTCTAGTTTTTTTTAGGGTTGTCAAAAACGGGTCAACTTATCAGGTTTAGATTCAATCCGGGCTATTTGAGTAATTGAGTCCAAACAGGTCGACTCGAATCCAATTTGATTTTGCAAATGGGTCAAGCTTTTCAACCCGGATGTGAATGGGTGGGTTACAGTTCCATGATTCGCGCAACGCTACAGGCTTCGAGATGCGGCACGGGGGCCGAGAGCCGAGGTATGCGGGATGTGGCACGGCGGTAGCAATGGTTGCGACTCAACTAGACGACAGGTGCGGCAACCATTTTCCCATGTCAACCCGTGTTGAGTTTGGGTTTTCGGGTTTACATGAACCCAATCCGATTTCGCAAAAGTGTCAAAAACTTGAACCCGAATTCGATCAGTATGAGAAACAGGTTGATCCGAATCCGAAATTTTTTTTTTTTTTTTAAGCATGGAAAATTAATTTTCAAAAGCTCTCCCAACGGAAGCTTAGAAAAAATAGTACAAATTTCTAGGGGAATATAATAATACTTTATAGTAAAAGGCTGTTAAAAGATATTTCGGATCTTTTTTTGACAATTTTTTATTACAAATTTATGAAACTGTTATAAAACATATAAATATATTAAGCGGATATATGTTTTTTATAGGCTATATATATAAATCAGCAAATTAAATTGTAATAAATAAAAGGGTAAATTTTTAAAAATTAATATTGTTAAAAATTTAATTAACTATTCAACCAATAAGAGGAGACAGCCGCCGCACTTAGGACACTCATCGACACGTTTCGGAACAATGAAGTACATGAAGCAAGACTTGCAGCCGGCGACGACGAGGATTAGACTCCCCGCGCCACCCTTACCGTCGCCGGCAATGGAGTCATCGGAGGATGAATTGTGAGAGTTTCTGCTGCTAACACCGAAAAAATCCTCATAGTCAGTTCCATCGCCGGCAAGCGAGCTGCAGTCTTCAATGTCACTATCATTGTCTTCTTCATCTTCGCAGCCTCCGGCATCATCGGAGTTGTACTCTTCTGACGAATTATAGCTCGCCTTAAGACCGGAGGCTGCAATCCGAGGAACCTCTGTTCTCCTCTCACCGCTCTTCCCGTTCACATAGAACAGCTTCCCTGTCTGAGAGGAAAAAAAAAACAGAGCAATCATTATAAGATAAGCTTAAGAGCAAAAAATGATGGCCGAGTGATTAATCCGTTAATAAATTACAATTTGATCATAAAAGAATAATCTTTCAATGTCGAAAGAGGAAATAGGAAGATAATACTTAAAGAGCAAAAAATAACAGAGATCGAAATAGAAGAAAGCTTTTGGGTGTAAGGAAGAAGAAATAGATATGGTGAATTGGTGTGAGTAGGTAACGAACCTTCATGTCAAGGCATTGCTTCCAGTGAATGGGAAACGCTTTACCGGAGTTGAGCTCCACCGTTACCTCTTCGCTCTCCGCCGCAGCCGCCGCGATGCTGCTCCTCTTCTGCTGTTATGCGAGCAGTTCCTCAGAGAAGCGGCTATTGATTCGATGTTCGGCGCCGCCATCCCTCGTCGTGCTACAACGAGGAAGAAATGGTAGCGGAAGTTCGTCATATGAGGAAGACGGGAACTGTAAGGGTATTTAGGTATTTCTTATACTTCCAAACAGCGGGAAGCACGCGAAAAGCACCCGAAAGCAGGGACGTTCTTTTGGATGGGAAAAGCAACCGTGGGACTTAGAAATTTTTAAAACGGAGCACCACCGCTTAACCCCAAACGACCTCTTGGTTACGTTCGGTGAAGCACAGCAGGGAAAAATCCGTCCCAAACGAGGCCTGAGTCTTACTTATATTGAATCTCTTGATGGTGAATCATTCGTCAGACATTTGAAGGTCTTAATGATGTCGGAATTTGGCGATCTTGGTCTCGTTGGATTTGTCTCGTCGAGCCGCTCGATTTGATTATAAGCTCGCCAAATTCAGAAACCGTTTGGTAACTCAAATTGTGGTACAAACTTTCAAACAGCGCTTTTGGTCCTTGATTTTGACTCATTTGGGCTTGGATAGAGTCGAATTTGGTGTCGTTGGGTTCGTATTAATGAGATGCTCAGTTTGACTGTAAGTTTGCTGAAATCGGACCAATCTATGGATGCTGAGCAATTTTGTAGTATAATGGGAATTTCTCAGAGGAATAGCTTCCTTACGTATCTGGGGATTCCTATATCTTCTGAAAGGCTTAAAGCTAATCATTTTCAGAAACTTTTAGGTATTATTACTTCACTGCTAGATGGGTGGAAGGTGAGACTTCTATCTCTTGCGGGTAGAGTTCAATTCTTGAAGTTTACAATTTCTAATACTCTTGCCTATTGGATAAAAGGATCTATTATTCCTAAAGGCATTTGTAAATCTATTTCTAAGCTGTGTTCTAAATTCCTTTTTCATGGGAATATTAATGGTAAGAAAATTCATATGATTGCGTGGGGTAAAACTGCTTGCCCTAAGAAGAAGGGTGGTTTAGGGATAGCCTCTATAGACTCTCTTTATTATAGTTATTACTTTCTTTTATTTGGAACATGTTGACTCAGAATTCTTTGATTTCTTCCTGGTTTAAGAATAAATACACTTCTCCCTGGAAACCTCCGTCTGCTAAAGCTACTAAATTCTGGAAAAATATCTGTAATACTTCGCAGAGAATCAAGGAACATTTAAACTTTCAGATTAGCCCTTCAGCTAACTTCTCTTTATACTGGGATCCATGGTTTAATGAGAAGTCTCTTGCTGAGTGTTTTCCGGTGGCTAAGCAGTTCTCTGAATTAAACATTCAAGACTGTATTAGCAGTTCTCACTGGAGGCTTCCAGATTCTTTTCCTGATTATATTAGGCATGTTATTTGCTCTGTGGAGATTAAAGAGCAACCGGCTTTGGCTTGGGACGGCTCTTTTAATCCTAAATTTAAGAATTTTATTACTTCTTACTATGATCACTTGGAGGAGGTTTCTTGGCATAATTATGTGTGGCACAAATATTACTCTCTGAGATACTCTATTTTTACTTAGATGGCTATTTTGCAGAAATTAAAAGTAGCTGACTTACTGATCAAGAGATCAATCCAGTTCTCACCTTACTGCTGTTTTTGCAATAAAGCCAAGGAAGATCACAACCATCTATTCTTTTATTGTGACTTTACCTTTCATGTCATTACTAATCTAATTCCTGAATTTAAAACTTTCTTATTTAGACCCATTTTGATTCAGGTTTTAGAGTCATTGGATAACCCGCTGAACTTTAACAAAAGGGAGAAAGAATTCTGCTGCCTCACAATTTGTTGCACAGTTTATCATATTTGGAGAGAAAGGAATAATCGGCTATTTGCTAACAATTGGAGTTCGCCGGATACTATTATTAGCACCATAAAAAATGCTATTAAGGTTAAGGCTTGTAGCTGGAAAAACTACAATCACCTAATTGAGAAATTCCAGTTCTGATTGGGTTCCAGCTCTACTGTTTTGGTAGTTTGCTATGTCTTGCTGGAAGATTTTTCTGCTGCTGACTCTGGTTCAGTTGTGTCTTAAGTTCTTTGTATCAGTCTACCTAGTCTTGCTTTTTGTCTTGGTTCCCTGCTTGGTTTTCCAGTCTGTATTTGTTCCATTGTTTTAGCACTATGTTTTTCTTATTGTTGTCATATTGTAACCTTCGTTTTATTAATAAAATGGGCTTTGCCCCGATTTAACCCAAAAAAAAAAAAGAAATCGGAGTTCAGGTGATCCCGGATTTAATTTTTGAAGTTTCCTGGTTGATTTTGCCTCTAGATTTGTGCGCGATCAAGAAATGTTTTTGATGATATATCAAGTCTAAATATTATCAAACAAAATGTTGGCGGCATTAAAATCTTATGAATTAAATCACAACATTTATGGAATTTAAAACATTTAATAATTTAAAAGAAGCCATGCCAAACAGTTTTCAAAGTTTAAAGTGTTTTAGCCCTCTCAAAATGTACAGGATTTACCAAATCCCACTTGTGGCCAAGCAGATCGTCAACACAAGTCAGGATAAGTACCTAATTTCATCCTCTTCAATGGAAAGCATAAATGAGATTCACATGCATTAAAAATAAAGGACGGCCTCTGTATTCTAAATCCAGTCTTCCAAAAGAAACCAGATATTAAAAAAAAAAAAAAACAATTTTTGTATCATTAAATGACCCGAAGCAAAGCAGGCTTTCCAATGAGCTGGTTACGGTTCCAGGCTTCGAGCTACGCTACAGGCTTAAGCCAACGGCCCAGTGCTGGCTAAGGGCCTGAGGCGGTGCCGGCGCCGCCTACGGGTGCGGGTCCATGTCAACCGGTCATGTGGACATGCGAAATGTGGCACGGCGGCAACAATGGCGGACGACACTGGCCGACTGGCACCTGGCGGTTTAAGGCCTGGATCAGCAAGATGTGGCTCCGCGGCAACTGTGACTCAGCTAGACGGCAGACACGGCAGCCATTTTCCAGGTCAACCCGTGTTGAGTTTTGGTTTTTGGGTCTACCCAAATCTAACCCTGTTTTGCAAATAGATCGAAAATGTGAACTCAAATCTGACCCATATGACAAACGGGATGACCCGAACCCGGAACTTTTCTAATCAGGTCTAGGTCGGGTCAGATTTTGACACCACTAATTTTTTAGCACTAATGTCTTTTAAAAAAAAACATAGAAAATTTAATTTTCAAAAGCTCTCCCAACGGAAGCTTAAAAAAATAAGAACAATTTTCTAGGAGAATATATAAATACTTTATAGTAAAAATTTATTTTTTAGACTTTATATTAGGGGTGTCAAAACCGGATTTCGGGTCGGGCCCGAACTAACCCGGGGTTCAAACGGGTCAACCTTAACCCGACCCGGATATGTAAACGGGTAGAAAAGTCTGACCTGGACCCGACCCTTCAAGTTGCCGGGTTGACCCGACCTGACCCGGATTTGGGTTCTGCCGGCGCCGGAATGTTGGAATGGCGGCGGGCGGACAGCGGGCGAGGGGGCGGACACGACATGCGAGGGCTTGCGCGGGCGGGGGCAGCGGGTAGAGGGGCACACAGTGCAGCGAGGCACGTGGGCACACAGGGCAGCGGGGGCGGGCTGTGTCGGGGAGCGGGGCAGTGCGGAGCGGGGCAGCAGGGGGCGGGGAATCCAAAATTTTTAAATTAAACCATTGGTTTCCGGTTTGACCGGCACCCACCGGGTTCAAAACGCCGAACCCGATCTTTTTTTCAACGGATCGAATACGGGAACCCGAACGCCGCCCGTTTTGAAATCGGGTCGGGTTCCGCAACCCGGATTTCGGGTCTGGGTCCCGGGTCGGATTTTCGTGTCCGAGCATAAATATTTTTAAAATTGAAGAAAATATACAAACTTATTCATTTTCTTCGAGAAGGTATTTGAATTTTATTTGAAATTTTAAATTGATACTCTTTATGTGTGAACCGCTTATTAAAATCCACCGTAGATGAAATCATTCTAATTCAATATATTAGTTTGATTATAATCCTTGATACATCCTCAACAAATTATCTGATGGAGCAGCGAATTTGATGCAAAATCAAATTGGAAACTTCCGAAAGGGTTAATTTCGGGAGCAAATATGAACTCCGATTTCAGCGGGCTTACAGTCAAATTGGAGCGCTCCAGAAATACGAACCCAACGACACCAGATCAACCAATCCGAGCCAAATGAGTCCGAATCAAAGGTTCAAAGCGCTGTTGGGAAGGTTCAAACCGCAATTTGGAGTTACAAACGGTCTCCGATTTTAACGAGCTTATACTCGAATCGATACGGCTTCGACGAGACGAATCAACGAGCGCAAGATCTCAAATTCCAATATCATTAAGGTTTTAAATGTCCAAACGACGGTGCAGTGATCAAGGATTCGATATCGGCCGTCCATTTCAAACCACACTCCCTGTTCGCCCTTGATATCACGCATATTTACAGGGCTATGCCACTCCAGAAAAACTATAATAGAGCCATCATTCTAACATTCAAAGGGACTCAAGTGAAGAGAGGAAGAAGAAGAGAAGGGAGAAGGAGAAGGAGAAAGGGGAATAGGAGATTCCTCACCTCCTCGACCATCCGCCCGCCGGAGTTTTTCCTGCCGGTCTGGAAGACGCCGAAACTCTTGCTCGGATTTTCAGGAAACGCAGGAATTCGCAGGATTTTTAGTGAATTTCGTGAAGAGACAATTGTATTTGGATTATCTCTGACTTGTGGGAAGAAAATCCGCCCAATTTTGTAATCCTACAAAAACACTAGTGGAAATTTTCAACTGGGCAGCCCGTGGTTTTCCCATTTTGGGTTTCCACGTAAAACTCTTGATGTTCACTCCTTCTTTTCTGTTTGTGTGTTAAACTTACGTGGCAACGC